GGCACAGAGGGGGTTAAGCAGTCCAGCTGTGAATCCCAGTACCAGGAGAAAACATCAGAGGAAGGCCTGTAAGCCTTGGTGTTCACCCTCCAGAGGAACTGGTTGGCTACTGTGTGAGACAGGATGCTGCACTAGCTGGACCTCTGGTCTTATCCAACAGGACTCTTCTTATGTTCTGATCAGGGGGAGTCCTCAGTCACTATGCCCTGTTGTTGGCACTCCAGGGGGACTGGTTGGCCACTGCGTGAGACAGGATGCTGGATTAGATGGACTGTTGGTGTTGTCCAAGGGAGCTCTACTTACATTCTTAACATTAGGGGAAGGCCTCTGCCTCTGTGCCCTGTTGTTGGCACTCCAGGGGGACTGGTTGGCCACTGTGTAAGACAGGATGCTGGACTGTTGGTCTGATCAAGCAGGGCTCTTCTTACGTTCTGATTGGGGGAAGGCCTCAGGCACTATGCTTTGTGGTTGGAACTCTAGAGGAATTAGTTGAACACTTTGTGGGACAGGATACTGGACTAGCTGGACCATTGGTCTGGTCAAGCAGGGCTCTTCTTATATTCTGATTGGGGGAAGGCCTCAGTCACTATGCCTTATGGTTGGAACTCTAGAGGAATTAGTTGACCACTCTGTGAGACAGGATGCTGGACTAGCTGGACCACTGGGTCTGATTCAGCAGGGCTCTTCTTATGTTCTAATCATGGGAAGGCCTTGGTCCCTATGCCCTGTTGTTGGCCCTCCAGAGGGTCTGGTTGACCACTGTGTGAGACAGGATGCTGGACTAGAAGGACTACTGGTCTGATCCAGGAGGGCTTTTTTTATATCCTTAGGTTCTAATGTTCTTAATAGCCCCCTCCTTGTCTTCTCTTGGGCCTTCCATAACTACCACCCACCTCTGCAATCACAGCATTACAGCCACATGTGTGTGAGAGAAAACCACAGACAATAGCCAATCATCCCAATAGATGTTCCCCTTTAGAACGAACACATCACTCTACCAGCCATTTATCTCAATAAGGGAGTGCGAGGGTGGGAATATGAACCCCTTATGCAAATCACAACCCCTGAGCTATATGTTTTTAAACAGCTACTCAATTAGAGGCTCCCATCTTCCCAAAACTGGCAGATAGTTGCCTATCAGCAAACATGAAATACTCCTTTGCTTTGATGTTGATTTTCATCAGTCCTTCATGTGAGTCACTCTGGGAGGCAAAGGTATGGAATAGTTCTGCTGTTATTTATGTGTGGATGGATCAGAACGGAACTTTTCTCTTCTTCTCCTCCTCCCAAGGGTCCTTTCTCAAATCACCCTAGTGGAATCCGGCCCAGAAACAGCCACGCCTGGAGATTCTATCAGGCTGACCTGCACTGTCACAGGATACTCTATCTCTAGTAACTATGACTGGATGTGGATAAGGCAGCCTTCTGGCAAAGTCCTAGAATGGGCGGCAGCTATAACTTATGAAGGGAGCACATACTATGCACCTTCTCTCCGAAGCAGGATTTCTATCTCCAAAGACAATGGCAGGAGTGAGTTCTACCTGCAGATGTCCTCCCTGATTGTTGCAGACTCAGCCACATACTACTGTGCAAGAGACACAGTGAGAGAACTGAACTAAGAGCCCAGATAAAAAAAGGGAAGCAGGTTGTAGACACAGGAAGGTGCTGACTGAGTTTAACAGCATAGTGTCCTCTGTCGTGTTGTATGTATCAATAGCTAATGTTCTTGTTCCTTAAAACTGAGTGGGTTTGTCCATTCTAGTGTTTCTTCAGTAAATGTTCCACTAAATTCCATTTAACTAGACAAATCCCTAAAATCAGCTCCAGAACTGGATCATGCGTACCTCAATACCCAGTTCCTTCTTGTCATTTTATATAATGCAGGGTTTCCCAGCCTTTTTGAGCCAGTGGGTACCATTGTAATTCTGATACTGGTTGGTGGGTGCAACCAGAAAATGGCTGTCACAGAAGGTGAAGCCAAGAACAGAATATGAAGGAGTGAGTTCATGCACAATCCTAATAGTAACTCCACAACTTTTCAGGCAGATGCATGGGACTGCATGCCTGGTTTATTAAAATTATTTTTGCAATATGTGGTTTCCAAAAGCATATGTGATTTTGTGTAAATCCCCAACCCATCACCAAAAGAATGGCCAGGCATTCTGATCAAGATGGCTTCTGGGAGTTTCCCATTACACACTTGCAGACTGGTAGCACAGAGGAAAACAAGAATGGACGTGAACTGGTAGGAAAGTCACAGCTGTGATAAACTTCACATGCCTCTTGCTGGGTACAAAAATCTAGAGGAGGGGTGTCAAACGTGCGGCCTGCGGGCCGTATCAGGCCCCTGGAGGGCTTCTACCAGGCCCGCAGTGGAACTGGTTGTCTTCTTCTTCTTCTTTCTGTTCTGCTGCTACTGCATCATTGTAGGTTTGCAGCTTACAGATATACATCTGAACAACATACTCAAGATTGCAACACCACAGACATTTTGATGTAATAATTCAGAGAAAGAGATGTCAATTATCAGACACTGTTAAATAAAATATTGCAAGAATGCTAATATTTTAAGCATGTTTTTATTTTAAGTTAAAAAAAAGTTTGTGTTTGTGTCCTTTAAAAAGTTTATATCTCCGCTACCGGGCATTACATTTTATGACACACACGGCCCAGCCGAACAAGGTCTCATTTATGTCAGATCTGGTCCTCATAACCAATGAGTTCAACACCCCTGATCTAGAGGGTAATATTTCTCAATGCATTGAATCTGCTAGGGAAAGTAGACCAAGGGATTCAGAACTAGAAAATCTGGAGAACAAATCAGAAGAGGAGAATTTCAGAACTATTCTTTTGGTGACCATTTCCCATGCCAAAGATCTATGTCCAACATTGTCCCTCTCCTCTTAACATCTTCCTCCTTTAGGCTCTGTTCTCATCTGTTGCAGCCTGCAATAGCCTGCCTTCTACTGATTTAAAAAAAACTAAGGTGATGTTTGGCCTGTTGATAAAAGAGATACTAGAAACACTGAATTGTCTGACAGTATGCTTTGAGGATTCAATGTCTATCTCAGCACCTGTAGATGGTGAATTGATCTAAGCCATGGGGTTCAGGGGCCTGTATCAGTCAAGACACATTCCCTGCTCCCAGCTCTCTCTCCTAGTTGCTGCTGCTATTGAAAGAAAACTGCTAGACTGTAGAATACTTCAAATCAGGGGTCATTTCATAGAAACAGAGCTGCATGAGCTCATTAGCATATTAGCACATGCCACACCCCCTGACATCACCGGAACTGTGCACCAGCCCCTCTGACAGGCAGAAGCACCTGGGATCCATTCTTTCCCCCCTCTCCCTTCCCTTTGCCTTCAAGTTGGGCGAAGGAAAAGGGGAGGGGGAGGATCTCAGGTGCTTCTGCCTGACAGAGGTGTTGGCATGCCCACAGCCAGCCTGGGTGAATTATAGAATCATTGAGTGGGAATGTACCTCCAGGGTCATCTAGTCCAACCCCCTGCACAATGCAGAAATTCAGGAGATGAGCAGTGGGAGGAAATTAGCGGGGGGAAGCAGCCTTGTGTACTTACTGGACATTTGTACAGGAAGTGACAAAGGGTAGCTCTATGAATCACCAGAAACACTCTTTTAAAAACCATAGTGTTTCTAGTTATTCCTAAATGTACCTTTTGTCATTTCCTGTATGAACTTCTGTTGAGTACATAAGGCTATATTTTTATTTTTTTCCTCCCATGATTCTGATCCAACAACAACAACAACACTCCTACCAGTTGCAAAGCCTTCCTGGCAACCCTAGCTGACTGGAGTGTTCAAATATTCTATTCAATCATAAGTAAAATACTAAGAAAATAACAACAACCAAAAAGCCTCCCATTATAAGCTCCACTTGACAGATGTAGCTACCTTTTGTGCATGGAAAGAGCCATCAAGTAACTGCCAACTTATGACAACCCCATAGGGTTTTCAAGACAAGCAACTAACAGAGGTGGATTGCCATTGCCTTTCTCCACAAAGTTTTACTTAGTGGTCTCACAGTCTTGCAAGAGCTGATGGGATTGGATTATATGATACCATTCCACATCCAAAAGCTATATTTTGCCAGCCCCCTGTATTACTTTTTTTCTTTAGAAGGGATGGTGTGGGATGCGAGAGGAACCCTAAATACAAACTTCAAGTCAAGAACTCTTGCTATTATAAGAGGTTCACCTTTTCTGCCTTGTCCATTCTACAAAGCCAGTTCTTACGGCTGAGAGACCAACAAGTCTTTATAAACCTGAAATACTCATCTGTTTCAAGTCCCTGTAGGGGGATGAAGGAATCATTCTGTGTATTTTTTCACATGTGCTTTCATCAAAACTGAGTCCATCTCTTCCCCACATATCCTCTTCCAAGCCAAACTGGTGGAATCTGGGCTAGAAATTGCCAAGCCTGAAGAGCTGGGTAGGAACTGTGGCACTTTAGTAGAGCATCTGCTTGAATTGCAACAGGTGCCAGGTTCTGTCCTTGGCATCTCTAGTAAAGAAGGGTTAAGTAATAGGTGATGTGAAAGACCTCTGCCTGAGAAACTAGAGAGACACTGTCAGTCTGAGTAGACAATACTGATCTTGATATTTCAGTGGTCTGACTAAGTATAAGATAGTTTCATTAGTTTATGTGATAGTCCATCAGGCTGACCTCCACCACCACAAAATGCTTGTTCTGACAACCTGATGATTAATGTCAGATACCATGTCAGTAGAGGAAACCTGCTGGGTGACAAGGATGGCTGGAACTCCAGACAATCAGGAATCTAGTTAAAGTTGACATATTCAGTGTTTTGACAGAGCAAGATGATTCTGACGTAGATCAATAGGCCAAAAAGGCAACCATAAGTTTGTAACAGTACATCAGATCCATTGTTTCTGTTCCACAGGAGACACCCATAGAATAAGGCAATTAGATTGCTTAATTTTTCCTTTTAATTAACTGATCCCTTTTGTTTAACTCTGGCCTCAGAAGAATAATGTAACATTTAGGAAAAAAGATACAAGCTAGTAACCCGAGACTGGAGGTCAAGATAGAGAAGATCTCCACAGCTACCATGTACTTCCCGTTGGTGCTCAGGTAGGTTGGAACAAAAGATACCCAAACACTACAAAATATAAACATACTGAAGGTGATGAACTTGGCCTCATTAAAGCTGTCTGGTAGTTTCCTGGCAAGGAAAGCCATAGTCAAGCTTATGGTTGACAGAAGTCCCATATAGCCTAGAACAGTATAGAACATAATAACAGACCCTTCATTACATTCTAGTATGATATTTTTCATCAATGATTGTCTGTCAGCATCTGGGAAAGGGGGAGAAGTTCCAATCCACACCACACAAATACTTATTTGAATAAGCGAGGAGGAAAAAATAATGGAGTTGGCCAGTCTTCTCCCCACCCACTTCCTCATGCTGGACCCTGGTTTGGTGGCCATGAAAGCTACAACCACAGTGATAGTTTTGGCCAACACACAAGAAACAGCCACTGAGAAGATGATGCCAAAACCAGATTGTCGGAGGAGGCAAGACACTTTCCTAGGCCGTCCAATAAACAGCAAGGAACAGAGGAAGCAGAGCAGGAGGGAGATCAGGAGAGAAGAAGTAATATCACGGTTGTTTGCTTTGACGATGGGGGTATCTTTGTGCTTAATGAAAGTTCGTAGCACTATGGCTGTGATCAGGGAAAAAGAAACAGCAAGTGAGGCTAGACAGATCCCTAGAGGTTCTTCATAAGTGAGGAAGCTGATTGTCTTGGGGATGCATTGGTTTTGGTCTTTGCTTGGGTACTGATCCTCTGGACACTTGATACAGTCATCCACATCTGGAAAAGATTAGATGTCTCATTTCAGTGTCAGTTTATATGCAAGCACAGACTGGTTTTTCACAACTACTTTCATTGTGAGAGTACCATGGAAATCACTCTCCTTGATTTTCATCTCAAAATGAGTAAGTAAATAACCTGGCACATACTATGCTTTGCATGCATGCATGGTACTCCAACATTGCATAAGAAGGATTTTTTTCCAAATATTTGCAGCACCATAATATCTCTATACATCCCAGTTCTGCACATGGTGCTGACTGCTATACATCACTTCTGACCCTTGATGCCAGAAATAACCTGCATGCAAAGCAGAGATTCTTTCACTTAGCCATAGTCCTCCCTGTCTATTTTTATGGCTGTGTAATATGAAAGTTTTTTCTATGAAGTCCTTTTTAATTCCCAGATTTGTCATCCACTAATGAATGGTTTCTCATATTTTCATATACATCACTTTAAAAAAATATATACATCACTTGGTGACAGCTTGATGTTTTAATGGGTTCTATTGGGTAGCATTATGCATTATGCAGAAGATTATCTTTACCCTCAGACTTACTATTTATTATGTGGTAGAATTCTCCAGTTTACCAAGTGCTTACTCATATACTTTGCTGAGCCCTGCTTGGTGTATAGCCATCTGAATTAAAGCCATATGAAGGACCCCTTCGTATGCTCTGTCACCTACCCTTCTTGTTTGAAATCTTCCCTTCAGGGCATGGAATACAATCATAGCAGCAAAATTTCTTCCCTTCTCTCTTTTGTTTCTGAAAACCAAGATGACAGGAGACACTACACAAAGAAACCGGCACCACCTATTGGCAAACACAAGAGGATTTTTAAAGTAGGAGAAATGGTTGGCCATCAGGCACTCCACAAAGAAAAAGATTGAAATGGCATAATGCGTTTATATCAAAAGTGATGGATGAAAAAATGTGCTCATGCTTTCCAAGGAAAGGTAGGAATTAGGTGCATTCTATTGTTTGGCCGAAAACCGAGACTGAATGAAAAATGTTTATTACTCCACTCAGTGCTTCACGCCACACATGGTACCAAGGCTATTGTTGGGCTCTTGGCAAAATGTGGTTGACAAAGAAATTGGGGAGAAATCTGAAGTGGGTCTACTCAGAAGCAAGTCCCCTTTGTGTGAGATGCTTACACCCAAGAAAGTTTGCAGCCTGTATTGCAGAAGTGGAGGAGTGAGAGGGTTCGGGCTACAAATATAACATGTGACCAATAAGATTATTTAAATAGCCCTTGATCCTGAAGTTTTTGTTAATCATACATCAGAAAGTTGCAGTCTTCAAAGAAAAAGGAAATCTGTGTTACATGACAAATTTCTCTTTGCTAAAGATCAGGAAAGTGGTATGAACAATCACTATGATGAGCGGGACAATTCCAACTGCAGAATAGCCCATCTGAAGAACAGAGTGGTACATTGGGGACATACAAGAAACCACACCTGGTTAAAATGTCTGGGCCACACAATCTTATCCTCATTAATGATGAATTCTTGTCCTTCGAGATCACTGTTATCCAATCTTCCGATATTCATTCTTAAGATGGAGTTGTTTGGGAATGTGACCAGATTCATGATATCAAAGCCAGCTCTCATTTCTTTGTTTGCATTAAAAGACATGGTTCCTCCAGCCGAGTTGTTAAATGCAACATCTTGAAGAGATGGGTGGAGCTAGTAAACAGAAACAAATGATTCATAATACATTAAGAATCTTCATGCACAGATTTACAAACACCACTTTCTCATTGATAGTGTCTTGGAGAACTAGAGCAGGATGTTATTGCAGAATGGTTCTTTGGGGCCTTTACCATCCTGTGACAGTCCCTACATCTTCCACAAGCTACTCCTGGGCATAAGCACATGGCAGAACATTGTGCAGGGGACTGCAGTGGGAAAGAAAGGCAAAAATCCCACGTGTATTACCTTGTGCAAACTTAGCCCATTTGTGAACGAGGGGAGTCTTTATTAATTACCCTTCCTACTGTAAACCCAGATTCTGTGTTGTATCCCACCTTATTCCAAGCAAACCACAATCCTTTAGGAGCAACTTTTGGGGACTACAGTTGGTTGCAGAAAAATCAGGTAGCAAAAGATCTGTTCCATAAGCATTAACTTATTCACACATACCTGGACCCATGCCATAACTATGCAATTTCGTCTAGACACAATGTGGTAAAGCAGTTTTGGTTTGGTTTCTTGCAGTTGTAAATCAGTGGAAATGTACGGCTTAACCTTTTGCAGCCTCCAAGTACAGAAATAAATGTAAACCCACACAAGTTTGTCGGCAGAGTAACTTATTAATGGAAGACGAAGCTATTCATTGAAACAAAGTTGTTTCATTATGGAGGCCTTACCTTCCAAGGGCGGAGATCTTGAAGTTTGTCTTTTTTGCTGCCCAACAATCCCCTGTGATTGTATCTGGAGGAGTACATGCCATGTAAAGCATGTGCCACAGCATAGACAGCATTATAGATACTGTAGCTGTGGCCAGTCATGCACATTTCAAAAAGAGGCCCCGGAAGATTTTCCAGCCTCTCCTCCCCAGTACAGATTCCATTGACTTGCATGGGCATGCTGCAGTTTGGATAAAAACAGTTGAACGCTTGCTCCCAGAAGCTCTGGAGGAAATGATCTCTTTCAGTCCAGCAAGGCTTAATGAGCTGAAGGAAATGTTGATACTCTGGAAGATCACTCGAGTGTATCATGAAGGAAATGGCTCCTTGGAACACTTGCAGATCTGAGAGCGACTGAAGGCTCGTCAAAGCAAAATCGATCTGGGCAGTCATAATCCACACCTTTCCATCAGATGTATTTTCTTTGTGTCCAGGAGCTCCAAGAAGTATGAAATAGCTCAGCCACAAAATGGAGAAAGTTTCTCCATGGAGGACACATGTATTGACTTTAGCATCTGTAACAGGTCGGTGTATACTGGAGACCATGTCATTGATTTCATACATGTCGGTCAAATAGGTTTGTCTTGGAATTCTTTGTACAAATGCAGAACACAGTCCATGCTGGGTAAAGAGGGACTCCAAAGCCTGCAAGAAATGTTCTCCACTCTCATCATCCACAGCATATAGCCCGACCCATGTCCATCCAAAATGCTTCAATAAATGGATAATTCCTGTGTATTGTTGGGCTTCGTTGGGGACCATGCGGTAAAAGGACAGAAACTGTCGTGTATTAGTATCTTCTGAAGCAAAGGAGCCATATGTGAGCTGAAAGACAATGTGGGTATGTATGTCACCTAATATGCAAAGAAGTGCCTGCTACAAAAAGAGCCCTGCGAAGATTTATATATATATAAATGAATATTTGTGGCACTAAAAATCCGATTTCAGCCTGCAGTTTCAGAGAGTATGAAAGTCAAGGGCTCCTCTGACCAAAGTGTCGTAGCATGATAAAAGCTCTAGGAAACAGTCATTTGCTTAAAGTGCTTGAATCTACCCAAGAAGATAGTTTTCGATGGATAGACATGTTCAGTTGCAGTAAAGAATTATATTCAAGAGGGCTCTTTTTGTAGCAGGAACCCCTTTGCATATCAGGCAACAAACCCCTAATGTAGCCAATCCTCCAAGAACCTACAGTAGCCCCTGCAAGAAGAGCTCTGTAAGCTCTTGGAGGATTGGCTACATTAGGGGTATGTCACCTAATATGCAAAGAAGTGCCTGCTACAAAAAGAGCCCTGCCAGTAGCATCTTAAGGACCAACAAGATTTCCACTATATAAGCTTTTGAGAATCAGTGAAGCTTCAATGAAGGGACTTTTGACTCTCAAAAGCTCATACCCTGGAAATCAGGTTGGTCTTTACAGTGCTGTTGGACTCAAATGTAGTTGAATCTTTCCAGTGCCTCCTGTTCTTTCTGCTTCTCTGAAGCTCTGAAGCTCTGAAGCATTTCTTCTTTGATCTGTTGTAGATTTCCCTATCGGAATCACAGCATCACTCTCAGAGTGACAAGAGTTAATAACATGAAAGATTAGTAAAAAAAATCCACACACCCTATGCAGTGCAGAGATCCTACCTGTGGGATCTTGTAAAGGCCTAAGATATCTGCCATGAGGAAGGAGATATCAGAGCCTAGTCCCCCAATGATGGCTACAAGGTTTTTCGCTTTGTCGCATTTGTAGTTGGGGACAAATCTGTGTAATTTGAAGAGCAGCTCCAGAGTGGTCCGATAGGTCATCTTTGCATCATAGTAGCTGTCACAAACATGGAACCCAAGTGTGATGTTGGGCAAGATCATGGGATTCTCATTGATCTCATTTATGGCAAATGCCAAGGACAGCATGTGCTGGTAGAACTTGGTCACCATACTGCAGAGAGAGGGACATACTCTTTCACAAGGCAATTTTACAATGCACAGGGGTCACTCTACCATAGCATCAATACACTCTGGCTTCAAATAAAGTAACCGAATTTTGAAATCAACTCATCTGAGCATTACTAGATTGCATCATAGTTAGAAAGGAGGAGGGAAAGCTTGCAGTGGCTAAGAAGAGGGGATTTACAGATTGAGGGATACAGATACAGAGGAGAACAAGAGTACACCAGGCAGTGGCAAAGGTGTACACCAGTTTGGTGTGGTGGTTAAGAGCAGCGGGCTTTAATTGGGTTTGATTCCCCGCTCCTCGACATGCAGAACTGTTCTCTGAAGACGAGTTCTCTCAGAGCTCTCTCAGCCCCACCTACCTCATGTGATTAACACATGGAATTCACTGCCACAGGAGGTGGTGGCAGCTACAAGCATGGATGGCTTCAAGAGAGAATTAGATAAACCAATGGAGCAGAGGTCCATCAGTGGCTATTAGCCACAAGGTATAGATAGGAACTCTCTGTCTGGGGCAAGGGATGCTCTGTATTCTTGGTGTTTGAGGGGCAACAGAGGGTGGGCTTCTAGTGTCCTGGCCCCACTGCTGGACTTTCTGAGGGCACCTGGTATTTTTGGCCACTGTGTCTTATGTTCTTTGTACAACCTCAGACTACACTATGTAGTCTTAGACAAGCCTCCGCCGACCCTTTCTCCCACTTCCCCCCATTATCTGCAATATAGGGACAACTGTACTTTGTAAGGATTCCAAGATAATTGTGAGAAGTCTTGTGAAAGCTTTCAGGCACACCTTTCAAATGTTCCATAGTAAGTGTGTAGCTGTGAATCTCATCTCTAGATGAAGATTACTCAGGTTTCCAACTTCACATAACTTGAAGACAGAAAAAATGAAAATGATAACTTACACAGGGATATCAAACAGCTTCTGAGAAGGGTGTTCCTCAAAGGAAGGTTTGTGGGACATATAAAGGACTTGAGAAGTAACCCCTCCAATGAGGAAGTCACCCGGCTGATACCACTCATGCGGTACAGGAAGGGCATCATTCGTGGGGCACTTCTCAACAGCTCCTTTGCACGCCATATGAGGTAGCAGAAGCAGCAAAACGACTAATACCACCATCTGATAGGAAAGCGTGTCTCTGGACACAGATGCTCCTGTGCCCTTCTACACCTCCATGACAGCATCGGTGAGGTTTAAAGAAGCTTAGAAGAGGCAGCAATGAACTTTGCGAAGATACTTCTAAGGGAGAATAATACCACCCTTTAAAAAAAAAAAAACTCAGCAAGATTAGAAAAAGGCTGAAAAAAACAATAATCTAGGGCAATCTGAGGCCAGAATTACTTATCTCAAGGGAGGCTTTCTCAGGATTCAATCGGACAGGGCCCTGCCTACCTAATGTCAGCTTTGAAAGGCATCTGAAGGGGTTTATAACTATTTTCTGGTATGTTTATTGGTCATTTTCCTAGTAACTTATGGAAGGTTGATAGACTTCTGGCACAAAGGATAAATTACAGTGATTTAAATAATTGAAGGGGGGAAATAATTGCCTCTGCAAAAGTTGTACTCAGGATAGTAGTGCTGTCAGCAAATGGCTTTTCTTCTCCTCTGACTTCTTAGTATTGCAACAGGTGGGAGGTGGCTTCTGTCTGGCCAGAGGAAGCAACTCACAAGGCCCTGTGGTGAAAGTGGACCCCAACCTTTGTGGATCAGAAAAGGCAATGGTACAATTGGCCATCTTCTCCCCTCATCCAAAAGAAAATTAAAGAATGACCAAAACAAATGCTAAATGGAATAGCAAATCTCCTGTTGAATGTTTGTCCAGATCTCTGGCATAGGCCTTTAATGATTCACCTAGACCTGACTGAATCCAAAGTCAACATCATGTTTTGTGCCATGGTTTTGTGTAGTGGTTAAGTGCATGGACTCTAATCTGGGAGAACCGGGTTTGATTCCCCACTCCTCCACTTGCACCTGCTGGATGACCTTGGGCAAGCCATAGTTCTGATAAGAGCTGTTTTTGAAAAAGAGCAGTTTCTGTCAAGAGCTCTCTCAGCCCCACCTACCTCAAAGGGTGTCTGTTGTGGGACTGGATGACCTTGGGCAAGCCATAGTTCTGATAAGAGCTGTTTTTGAAAAAGAGCAGTTTCTGTCAAGAGCTCTCTCAGCCCCACCTACCTCAAAGGGTGTCTGTTGTGGGAAAGGGAAGGGAAAGGAGTTTTTAAGCCACTCCAAGACACCTTCGGGTAGTGAAGTGCGGGGTATAAATCCAATCTCCTCCTCCTCCTCCTCCTCCTCCTCCTCCTCCTCCTCGTCTTCTTCTTGGAA